ATAGGAGGCAAATGAGGGAAGAACTGACAACAATTGAAGGCAACTACAAAAACTCTCAGCACTCTCATGTTAAAATTTGTATTTGCTGCTGGTGGACTTTGTGGGCATGAGTGTACCTTGCTTTCCCACTTGTCCTACCCCTGAAATAATTCAAGAATTCAGTTCAGTTCAATAGCCAAACTGATCTGAGCAATCTCCATGGAATTATCTTCCTAGTTACAAACACACACAAAATAGGATACCTTCCTTGTATCATCCACACTGTACTGAAATATTACATTATACTGCAAGCAAAAGTAGGATTTATTTTGCTTCCAGAATGATTTCAATTGCTTTCAAGCCCAGACAGACAAAACTCACTATTTGAGTGGACTGCTCATTTTCTGTGAAGAATACATCATTAAGGTAATTATTCTGAAACAAGTATCTTACAGGATTCATATAAGCCAAACTGTGATCACATTCTGCTACTGAAAAGTTCCTTCCTTCTAAATCCATCCTTGGACTGCACCTAGCAATTATCAAATCTGCAGGAGCTTACTGATTCATCTGAAAACCAACTTTGGGAAGAAAACCCCAAACCCAAAACCCAGCAACATAAGGAAAAAAACCACCTCAAAAACCCACATACCCTAAATTGGTTCATGGATCCAGCTGGCAACTGCCTCAGCCATTCTGCAACCACAGGCTAGAACCATACAAACCAAGAGCTGGGGGGAAATTTATTTGAGGCATGACCTTAATTTAGCCAAAATCAATGATAATATCAGAGGATATGCTGTGCCTAACAGCAGACCCAATTCTCATCCCCAAACTGCTCCTGCCATAGCAATATAAATGAATTTTAAAGTGGATGCAAATGGACCAGGTATGTTTAAAATGTACTCTTGGCATAGATCCTCACCTGGAGTAAACTGCCACTGACTTCAAAGGAACATCTACCCTTTGGGTGTATTTTTTTGAGACTATTACTTTAGGCAATGAAAAAAGAAAGACTCCTAAGGAGTTTAAAACATACAGGATTAATTTCTTTCCTTCCCAACATCACAGACTATGTGTGGGATGCTGAAATGAATTTGGGGCTTACTCAAAGGATTTACTGAGAGTGACTGAAATAAAAACAGAAGATATAAATATAAAGAGAAAAGTGAACATAAAATAAAAATTGGGGGTGGAACTCTTGTTTTTCAGAATAACCTTGTTTATATTTATTATTTCTCTCCATTTATGGGACAAATTCTTCAATGTCCTTCAAGTGAAACTCATTTCAAATATTTTTCTGCTGGGAAAAAAATGAATGCATTAATTTCTCTGTTCTGGTACACAGCTACAAAACATATTGTTGTACACTACTCTTTCACACACATCTGAGTGAGGAGAACATGGACTACCTGGTGCAAAAGCTTGCAATCTCAGTTCATACATCACTATCACTTATGTGGTTTTGTACCTCAGTTCCTGCACTTCAGCACTCATAAACTCAACTTTGAGTTTGCTTTATAATCTCTTGTTTTTCTACTGAGTCACCTCAGTAGTAGGTGCTTGTTCCACCATGGGGTTCACCTTAAGAGGAAGTTTTCCCCCTTTTCCTTCCCACACCCAGGTTTCTCTCAAAGAGTAATGTATCTCAAGAGCAAAGAGCAGGACTGACACACAGGGCCACTTAACCCTCAGGCAACCCCCCAGGCAACTGGCACAGGGAATCCCAAAATACCTTGCACTGCAATTTTTGTCTGAAGGCAAATCCCTCCAGGGACTGCCAGCTTTTGGCAGAAGCAGGTCAACTGAAACACTGAACAAGGAAAGAAAAACAGCACCCAACTCCTGAATCTTTCATCCATGGAGTACCAAAGGATACTTTGTGCCATCATAACATCTTCTAGTTGTAGGTACATTCAAGAATCATGTATTGTGGTATCACTAACACTCACATGTACAAATAATTGGCATTTGATTATTTACCTAGTGGCTTTAGAAGAGGATAAGGAACCCTGATGGCTTCCCTTATTATCATAAAGAAATGTTGCTGTTGCTACAGAGACATTACAAGTTTTTGATGAAAAGAGATAGGCTTCTATTAAATGGTGTTTTATTGAAAGATATGAACATCCTCTTAGAGACAAAATTTAAACTTTTGGGGCTGGGGGGAAGCTGGGGGTTTTGTATGACCTGAAAAATGGAATTAGTAAACTCCTATAAACAGATGTTATCCCCATGCAAATTGAATTAGAAGATTCATGCCTCTAATGAAATAAGCCAACAGTAAGCCTGAGTGAGCAGGTAGATAGCCTAGAACCAGAAAGCAAGAGCACTTCATTTTTTATTGTAAAAGAGAAGAAAGTAACAAGAGGAGATTCATTTGACATGAGTTGCTTGCTCTCTAATAACATAGATCAAATTTACTCTCTATGTATCAAATCAGATTGAAATGGTAGACATGAACCTCGCTGTTCAAGGTGTGCTGATTCTGCACACCTACAAATGTAAAACCCAAATGATATTCACATCCAGAAGTATGAGACTACCTAAAATTAGAGGAAAATGATGTGTACAAATCCAGTTGATGTGCTCAGGTTAGATTTGGTGTTATTTATTGGGAATTTCTACATTCCCATTAGGCTCCTGTCATACTCTTCAACCTGAAGTGGACAGGTACACATCTTTTATTGTTTCTATATTTACAAAATGAAAATGACATATCTTTGGGGTTAAAACACTTTGTAAGATGTATTCAAGGGTACAACCTTTTTCTACTCTCATCTTCATCAGAAAAGACTCTCAAGTTGGACTGACCCATGCCATAATTAAGCCTCACTGATTTCTTTTGACATGCACCACAAACAAAGAATAAGAGTACATAATTTACATGTTATTTTATTTGCTTGTACAACTGATTTGTTATCCAGGTGATCACCTTCTCTCACCTACACAGAGGAGAAGGATTACTGACATGGCTAAAGCCTAGACATGAAAATAACTGAGGCTGCTCTTGTACAGTAGCTTTGGATTTTGCTTTCTTCCACAAGAAAGAATTCTGCACTTTTCCATGCTATCCCACCCCTCCATACACTATAGAGTGTGATAATAGAAATGTGGGAAGGAAAGTAATTTGAAAGTCTGCTCTTCTGTCCCAGTTGTGAGGCCCCTTTAGCAAAGAATATATTAAAACATCTATCTCACACACTAACTTCACAAATCCCATTGCCTGGCAATGGAAGGCACATAAGAACAGAGCTGGGACAGGGATTTTATGAAATGGTCTTGACAGATGGAGTAAACCAGACATTCCCAGACCAGCCAGAGCATGCAATCGACAGAAAATGCTTTCATTTCAAGGAGGGTTTTGAAAAATGTGACATAAAAAACACCCCATGCATAGAGTGAAAAGGTAAAAGACTTTCTGCCAATTGATCAATGGAGTTCTAGAGTTTCAAAGCCAGAATTCACTTTTTTGGTGCCAGAATTCACAACAGAGCCCAGGCCAATTGAAGGTACAAAGAGAGTAACAGATTATTACCATTACTTTTTAAAGTTTCACGGCAGGTAAAACTGATCTTCACATCAGCTGCTCTCAGACTTTCATTTACTTCATTAAAATATCTTGTTTGGTCAGTTCTACCACTATAATTTATTTTAAACATAGTGAAACCTTAACTAAAGAGGCAGCCTGACATTAAGCATCCACTTGAAAGCCTCTGCAGATTACCACTCCGCTCTCTGTGGTGAGGGTTTGGGCACAGAAAAGTTTTTGAGCCAGATTCCACTTTCCCTTCATTTCTCAGATGACTTCAATGCAAATTCCAAATTCAGGCAGCACCACCACAGACATGTTACCGTCAGTGAAACCAGCCAAAACATGTCCTCTAGTTTGAGGTGGTCTCTTCAGCTAAGGCTGGAAAATGGCCCAAAATTGTGATCACTGTTCTGTTTTTCAAACCCCACTTCAAAGTCAAAAAGCTGATTTTCCTCTCTTGCTGCTTAAGGCAAATTTAACTGGATACACATATGGCGTAAGTGCCAAACCCATTTAGAGTTGGAGGAACTTGCAAAACATACAGAGGCAGATTCTGCTGCTCTTACTCACTTTAAACAGCTCCAGCCTAACTAATGGGACTTCTCAACACAATTAAGACAAGCAGGATCCAATCCAAAAAGAATATGCACATTTCAAAGCTGAAAAATATACTCTGCACAAAGCACACTTGTAATCCAGGGGGACATTCAAGTGGCCATTTAATGGACAGTTATATACACGAAAAACCAGTAGGACAATCTTAGGTCAGGATGTTTTTTTAAACAGCAGCCACGTGCTATACTAAAACTAATTATCTACCCAAAACGTTTGTTAGCTGGGGGGAGGAATCTGCAGCTCAAGGTGTTCCGGGGAGTCAAACTGTAAGTGTTAATCTAATGGGAAACACCACACTTTTATATTAGGATAATACAAAATATTCCACTGCAGAGTACAGGTCACATTCAACAGCTACGTTTTTCACAGGCAGGAATTTCAGCAAGATGGAGTGCAAGGTTTTCCCAGAGAAGATTTATGTCACTTTCTCGTTTATATCCATAAGCATTTATATTTATAAACAAACTGGGAACTTACAGATTAACGACCTTTTTAAAACATCCGGTAAAAACACAATTAGAATCGAGGGGGAAGGAGGAAGGGGTGTTTTTTCATAAGCAAAGCCACAAGCCGGTAACTCCGAACAGATCCCGCGGGAGGAGCAGGGCAGGTGCCTCGGGGCACTGCCCGGGACTCTCTGCCCGCCCCGGGAAGGCTCCCGCCGCCACCTCCAGGGGTCCCCGCCCCGACCCCCTGCCCGCAGCCTCTCCTCCCTCCCAGCCTCTTCTCCTCCATCACTTCCTCTCCCCCTCCTCGCGGGCCCCTTTACCCCTCACCTCAGACCCTTTTCCTCCCCCAACATACGTCCTCAGCCCGCCCCGCCTCGAACTCCCGCTTCTCCTCCTTCTTCGCCTCGCCCCGCGGCTCTCACCCTCCCGGGCTTTCAGCAGCACCGTGTTGGCCACGATGTTCTCGATTTCCATGGTCGGGGGCTCCTTCCCCTCAGGGCAGCCGGAGCGGGGGCCGCCCCTACAGCCTCCTTCGCCCCCTCCTCCAGCCCCGCCACCGCCGCGGCGCCAAGCCTCGGCTCATCCGGCCCCAGAGGACCTCAGCACTGCGCTCGCCTCTTCCCCATCACCCGCTGCTCGCCCCGGCACCGCGCTCCCCCTCCCCGAGGGCGGAGACGGAGAGCAGGCAGCGCCCTCCCGCCCCGGCCATGGCTCCTCCGCCCGCCGCAGGCAGCACCGCCCCTGCGCTGCCACCCCCTCACAGCTACCGGGACTGCAAGTCCCAGCGGGCAGAGCGCGGTGTGCGCTGGGGACACGCGCGCGCGATGGCTCCTGGGCCTGCTGGGATATGTAGTGCGTCAGACGTTCCCCGGCCTCGGCCCAAAGCGGGCGGCGAACAGAGCGGTAAATATCGCGGTACTAGGGTAGGGCTCTCGCGAGAGGTGGCCAAGTGCCGGTGCGCATGTGGTAGTGCTGGGTATGGCGGGGTGAGGGGCGCGCTGGAGTCGCGTTGCTCTCGCTTTTCTCTTCTCCCTCTTCTCCTGCGCTCCCTCCTCCGCTCCTCGCCCCTCCGGCTCTCACGGAGCTGTGGCTGAGGGCAGGGGTCAGGCCAAGGGATAATTCGGGGGGTTTTGCACCCCCTCGGCGCCATTTTGCTCTCCCCGTCTGCACCTCCAGTCTTGGCCCCGCACACTGAGGGCAGAACCGCTGCCTCACCCCCGCGTCCCCACGGGCAGCCGGAGCAGAGATGGGGAAGGCGGCGAAACGGAAGAAGAAGGTGTCAGTGCCCTCCACTGCAAAGGGCCCCGTGAAGTCGGCCATGGCCGTGGTCAAGAGCAACCCCTTTGAGGTGAAAGTCAACAGGCAGAAGTTTGACATCCTGGGGAGGAAGACCAAAAATGATGTGGGGCTGCCGGGTGTCTCACGGTCCAAGGCCATCAAGAAGGTAAGAGGACATGCAAAGCAGGGAGGAAGAACGGTGTCTGTTGATGTGGGAGATGATAAGGCTGGAGCCCTCTCAGGAGGAATAAGCGCCCAGCTCTGCTGTCACAGCAGGAGTGGCCGGTGCCCTCTGAGTGCTCGGGGGGTGATGCAGAGCTCGGGGAATGGCTCTGGCCAGTGCAGCCCCCAGGGCTCAGTAGTGCAGCTCCTCACTATTGCTTGGTGGGCATGGATCTCTTCTCAAGGTACCCACGGCCACAATACATTGGCACGTGTTGTCGGCTGGACCAGGGTCAGTGTTCATGACGTTGGTCGGTGCTGGTCATCCCAGAATGTTCAGCTTTTTGATAATGTCGTAATGGTGATAGAATAGTGGAACATTGAAAGAGCACTAAGGTCGGGATACAGTGAGAAATGTGTAGCTACAAAGAAACTACTGTTATGGAAAACAAATGCTGGTGATTTTTTGTGCACAGGTTGAATAATCGTGTTGTAGAAGTATGTTGGGATGTAATGATCTGTTTCCTGCTGTAATAAGAATGACCATACGATTTAAGAAGAGTAAATTTTTTATCTTCAACCCTTGTACCATTTTCAAAATGCCTCTTTATGTTTCTCTCTTGCCATCAGTAGCTACCTGACCAAAATCTGTGATGCATAAGGGAGAGTGTGTCATAAAATGCATCTGGGATTCCAGCAGCCTACCTTATTCTTGGGTGAAGCACAGGAGTTTTTAGTGGTCTGTCACTTCACACAAACCAGCAAAGAAGTTTAAACCTATGTAGGTCAAGTTAAAGCTGAAAAAAGGATAATTTGAAAGTATGTCCCTGAGATTCTCTGGCATGTTATGTATATGCTGTTGTTGAACAGAATTTAAAGCACTTACTGGAAGGACAAATGCAATGAAAACAAAGAGATATTTTATCATATTATGTGTATTGTGAAAGGTGATGCATTAAGTATTTTCTTTTTTATCAATAGGAGAAGTAATCAAATAATTAAATACAAAAAAAAAAGCACAGAAACGCTTTTTGATACCCAATGTTCATATACAGTGTCTCAGCTATAGAGACAGTGTATATGAACATTATACACTAATGTATAATGTTCATGTTATACATTATAAATATGTACATATTATACGTTATAAATATGTACATATTATACATTACAAATATGTGTAGTGGTCACTGTAAGAAGTAAATAGAAGGTAGAACTGTCACAATATTAGATGAAACCTGAGTTTTAGTGTCATTTACAGCAGCATATGAAGATTGTGAATGTTCAGTGAGGCTGCAGAGTAGGAAGGAGTAGGAGTAGGAAACCCAGCCTTTTCCTTTAGTGCAGCACTTTGTGGGGTTCTGGTAATATGAATGGCACAGTATCTTTTTCACATTGACAGTAAGAATCTGTTCATGTGCTTTAAATATAAATGGATATTTCTTGGCCTAAACACAGCCAACATTTTTTTTCTTTAGAAACTATATAATATCTTCAGCTTGAAATTATAAATTAGCTTTCAGATTTTGTTACTATTAGTCAAGATTTTAGAAAACTTCATGAATGTTGTACATCACATTTTAGGATTTGGGGTTTTATTTCGTAATAAGATAAATCAGATATCTGTCATTAATTATGCATTGGAAAGTAAACCTGTCTCCTTACCTGTCCCAAAAGCACCCAGTAAGTACCTTGGATAGGTGTAATAAGCTTCTTTTACTGACTTGATGCTTGACTTCCCCACACTGAACAGTGACACAGGGATAGATGTGGGGATCCAGGCTTTTATGTCTTAGATGAAATGACCAAAAAAAGTTCAGCTGACTTTTGCTGGCCTTTTTTGCTTTCTTTAATATGTTATTCTTTGCTTACTAAGCTTGAGACATGTCAGAATTCTTCAGTGTAAATGCACAGGTTTTGTGTGTGATAAAATAAAGGTGAGATATGGTGTAACATTTTATCTTCCCTTGGGTGCTTATAAGAGAACTTAATTTGAATGTATTGTATGAGGTTCCCACCTTTTCTTCATGTTAATTTTTCCTTCTCTTTCATTGCATTCTGGTAAATTATAATTTATAATATGATGGCAATATGAAGATTACTATGGTCACAGGATATTGTGAAGTCTTTTACGTTGGCTTTGGAAGTAGTTACTCTGTTCTTTCAATTTTATCTCCTTTGTCTTTTTCCTTCCAGCGCAATCAAACGTTACTGAAAGAATATAAAGAAAGAGAAAAGACAAATGTGTTTAAAGATAAACGTTTTGGTGAATATAACACCAAAATCACTCCTGAGGAAAAGATGATCAGACGATTCACTCTGGAAAGACAGGTAAATGATTTTAGAAAAGGAAAGAACAAACCAAGCCAAACACAAAGCCACAAGGCACACTTGAATTTTTAGGTTGGGAGCGCCCCCTTAATAGAGGGTTTTGCAGGACAATGCTTTATTTTTGATTTTATAGGTTTGGGACTTAGATTTCATGAAAAAATTTCTATTTATTTTTTCTTTCTGGTTTTGCCAGACAGCTGTTTGAAGCAGAGGTTTTTTTGAGCACTGACATGCAAGAAAGCTGGTTATAAGCAGATTCATTGATTAGTTGGTTTTCTTGACTGCTTTGTTTTAGGAGCTAAATTAGGAAAAAGTGGTCACCATCAAGTATATTCAGTAGCTGAGCAGAACTCTGAAACTTGCTGTCATTCTGTAGTGTGAATTGAATGTGCAGTACTACCCTTTTTGCCTTATCATACTCAGTCTCCAGAATTAAGCAGTGTAATTTTTATAGGTTGAAATCTGTTTCATTAGGCCTGAAATGCAGTAGTTAAAAATTGATGTTACTGATACATAAACTTCAGCTTCCCTAAGTTTCCTGGGTTAGTCCATTTGTACATTAGTGTGAGAGAGACATGACACTCTCTCAATATTGGTCTGACTGTGTTCTTACTCCAGTTAAATTCCAGCAAAACACTGGAATAAGAATCTCTTCAACTAGCACTGAAACTAAAGGCTGTATTATTTTGTTGCTTGGGAACTAAAGATCTTTTGATATTTCATTGGTTTGTTTTTCTGTTCTTAGCAAAATTATGGAAAGAAGAATATCTATAATCTTAATGAAGATGAGGAATTGACTCACTATGGCCAATCTTTGGCAGAAATTGAAAAACTAAATGATATTGTTGATAGTGACAGTGACACAGAAGAAAGAGGAACACTTTCAGGTAAGAAGTGCCAGCTGGTGTTTCACTGGTAATTTCATTACTGGTAAATGTGTACATCATTTGTTCAGTACTGTCTCTCAGTGAGAGAGAATGTTCTTGGTTGGAATGTTTAAACCAGATTTGATTACTTCTTAGTCACACACAGACCAGTTCTCTGGATTTTAGCAGGGGTTAAGTGGGGCATACTACTGGCAGGCTTCTTTACTCTGTGAGCTTTTCAGCATAAACAGGTACCTGGATTTTGAGCCCTTTGGCCAGAATTTAAAGTGTGAGTTTTCTGGGTGCTTTCTTGCATCTTTAGACCTCCATATTGGATAAATACAGGGCAAAAACATGATCCTACCTCATGCCAAGTGTCTGTCAGTGTAAATTATGTGTCTGACATAATCTCTTTTGGTATAGCCATTCTCATAGGGATGAGACTAATGCATGATTGATTGGTTCAATAGTCAAAATTGCTCCCATTCTCAGAGAATAGGGAGATACTGTCCCAGCAGCAGTTTTGCAGTCATGTGTGGATTTGAAAGATTAACATCCTTCTTTTTTTTTCCCCTAGCTGAATTAACTGCTGCTCACTTTGGAGGGGGTGGAGGCCTCCTTCGTAAAAAAGTATCAAGTGAGCAGCAAGATGAAGAAGAGGAAAAGCCTAAGTCAAGGAAAGAACTCATTGAAGAGATGATAGCCAAATCTAAACAAGAAAAGGTGAGTTTTTAGCCCTGAAGTATAAATGAGCATGATTAAGAAGCTGTCACCATCCCTGTATTTGTAGAATAGAAAAATAGTGGCATAGTAAACAAATGAGGAAGCTGTCTGAGAGGAGTCCAAGCTCCTTGAATAAAGTCTGACTTTGTAGGCATTTTAGATTTAACTTGTATATCTGCCATTGTTTTGTATCCCCAAATCTCCCCTTGTATTCACACCTGCTTTCTGAATGCAATCCTTGTGCCATTCAGCATAGCTCTGTACTTCTTCCACAAA